TTGTGCGCGCGGCATTGTCGGTGCGCGCGGCACTGATGGCATTGGCCAGCCGCTGGGCGCTGGCACTGATTATCGGTGGGGCGACAGAGGCGCATGCGCGCTTGTCACTTGGCGTTGCCGAGACCATGGGGCCGACCGTGGCGCTAGGCGTTGGGAGGCTTGCCGGGACGCCACGGGGCGCGTCCAAGGGGTCATGGGTCGATGATGGAAAGTAGCCCATGACAATAATGATGTAAATGCCATGTTTGACTTTCTCAATTCATCAATATAATTTGTAATGAATCAGTATTTTTGTTGTAGCCTCTCCACCCAGCATTTTCTTATTGCTGGGCTTCATTAAATAGTTAAGACTTTTACTTAGTTTAAAAAGAAAGAAATTAATAACATAGCGGGAGGGGATATTTTCCTTTAGGTAGATAACAAAAAATATACGTGAAGGACATATATAAACAACTAAATCTGTTTCGTTTGAACCTTGAATGAAACATGTCATAATTTCTCGCTGTTCTTAGGTTTTCCAAATTATTTGCAATTCAAAATCTTCTAAGGCGAGATGCCTTGATTGTATGTGCTAATTCGGTGACTTTGTTCCTTGCAGCATAAAGCTCCTTGCATTGAGGAACTTGAGGATAAGATGCAGAAGCTTCACAAAGAACGAGCAGCAGCCATCTTAGAAAGGAGAGCTGCCAATAGTGATGATGACATGAAGGAACTAGTAGCTGCTATAAGTGCTGCAAATCAAGTTCTAAGTAAAGGAGGTGGTAATGCAGAAACAATAAAAGCTGTGGCAGCTACTGCTCTAGCTCTAAGAGCAGCTGTGAGGGAAGGAGGGGATTTTCCAGTCGAGCTAGATGAATTCAGTAGAGATGGGAATATGCAAAATCAGATGGATGTGAGCAGAAGGGCAAACGCCCAAGAACGCAGGAGAGCAAGAAATGGTGTTATTAGATGCCAGCTATAGGAAATGATAGATCCTATCCGCCAATAGAAGGAGAATTAGACACTGATGAAAGTGACACCGAGAGCAATGCGTATCGGTCTCAGCGAGATCAATTGCTTCACTCTACTAAAGAGATTTTTGGTGATAAACATGAATACTCTGAATTTTCCATAGTTGTGAGATAGATGGAAGAAAGATTATACTTCAAGCTATCGTGATGCACATGTGTCCCTTTGTATACCTGCTATTTTCTAACCCTATGTGAGGCTGGAGCTTCTGAAGTGGGATCCTCTACATGAAAATGCAGATTTCATGAATATGAAATGGTAAGTGCATTCCTCTCAAATTTTGTAAATACTGGTCTCAGGGGTTGTGAGAGCAAACTTTTCCTTGTCCGACTGTGGGACTTCCTTTCTGGGACCTAGAAGTTCGTAGCATTATAATTTAATGTCTGAGTAATCTATAGAAAATGGAAAAGAAGATGCCAGCAAAGATTAATTTGGTGTTTAGTTTTGACATGTGATGATTACACTTGTACCAGGATATGAACAGTAACTTGTGAAAGATGTACGTGTCGAACTCTTTAGTTTGTGACAACTGGTGGTGAGAAATGCAACGGCTACTACAAATTCCAAGCTAGTCAGGTGAGGCCGGTTAGTTTGTGACAGTGGGTTAATATTAGCATTTCAGAAAAAGATTTGGCGTGTACAAGTCCTTTGTATGCTATTAATAAGGTCATTTTGAGATGGAGGCTGGTAATTCGTTAATTTTCTTAACATCGAGTTTGAAATTGATCGATGTTATCGGTTATGCTTATTTTTTCTATTTTTACTTTTGACACCATCCGTTAAGTTTATTATTGACTTTATCTAGGATACATTGGTAATCCAAACTTTTTGCATTTTACATTGTGACGCAATCGTAAAGCACCTTGGGGCAATATGTGGGGCTCCAGTCTCATGAAACCTACTCCTCAAGCGCCCACTCGTATGGTTGAGATGTGTCCAACGCCTTACGTATAGGGGATATTTCACAATTCCCGTGCAACTTTTGACAAAAAAAAATTCAAAAGGAAAAGTAAATATTTAAATATTACTAATTACTATTGTGGTGATAGGTTAGACATTAACCTTTTGTATATTAATAAGCAAAAGACAATTATATGCGGGGTTGGAGCGAAATCTGTCATAACCCTCGAAAGAAAGATGAAGAGCCACACTAGATGAACGTCAAGTGAAATTAGTTAAAGTTAGCTAAACTTCAATTAGTTATTGTCTTGATATATGTGCAGAGGAATTGGGCTTACCTTAGTATAAATAACTACTCCCTCCCTCCCATTTGTGTTATTTGTACATCATGCTACTTTACAATTTTGAATTTAAGAAAATGACCTTTTTAGATCTTTTATGTGTAATCTCTTACGTGTAAAAATAAATCTCTCATATGTAAAAAAAAAGAAAAAGAAAAGAAGAGGTAGGGTCATAAAATTAAAAACAAGTTTGCATCCCATTTGATGTGGCATAGTTTGACCGACCGTGATGTTTAAGAAAAAAGAAAGATTTTTGAAACTTGTGATCTAAAGCAAGCCATAAATATTTCTGTGGCTATAAATAATCTCATTAAGTATAAAATAAGAAGTATAAAGTTAAATTGTTCTAAATATAAGGAGTCATTATTTACCAAAAAAATATGGGGTGTCATTTTTTCCGGGTCAGACTAAAAAGGAAAGCGTACGACATAAATTGAGACAACGATCCTTTACCATCATCATTTGACTGTTACGAAGGCTATCGCTTCTGTTCAATATATAATGACGGAAGTCAGCTATGGTTGGTTAATCCTAAGGTAAAAACTAAGATGTATATATCGGAAGATTCATAACACCAAGCAACAGGGAAGGGAGAAGACAGAAATCTCCAAG